GAGGCAGGAGGATTGCCATAACTTCCAGGATGGCTAGAACTGTATTACAGAACACGCTCACAAGACAAACAGAACAGAATCAAAATCCAATTTATTTTAAAATATATGAGGAAAGGCCAACGTGACATGACTTTGGAAGTTGCAGGATCACTGATTTGAAGTGTTACTGTGCAGCTAGCTGTGCAGTATTAGACAAGCACTGTGGAACACAGCTGGAGAAGATCGTCTTTGCAGTAAATTGTATTGAAGTAGTTTGCTGAATGCAAGTGAACTTTAATCCAGATCTTATTTATAAAAATTAACTTGGGGCTGGAGAGATGGCTCAGTGGTTAAGAGCACTGTCTGCTCTTCCAGAGGTCCTGAGTTCAATTCCCAGCAACCACATGGTGGCTCCAAACCATCTGTAAAGAGGGCACCTCTGGCGTGTGGAGGCAGAAAGTTGTATACATAATAAATAAATCTTTTTTTAAAAAAAATTAACTCAAAGTGAGTCTCATGAAAACCTAACACTTAATAAATTTTTTAAAAGCCAGGTGTGGTGGTGTGTGCCTTTAGTCTCAGCACTCAGGAGGCAGAGGCAGGAGGATCTCTGTGAATTTGAGGCCAGCCTGGTCTACAGAGTGAGTTGCAGGACAGCCAGGGCTACACAGAGAAACCCTGTCTCAAAAAACAAACAAATAAAACAACAAACAAACAGACAAAAAGAAGCACAGGAATAATTCTAGACTTTAAGTTGGGTCCTGAAAGACAGTCAAGAGTCAGGGCCTTTGGAATCTGATGTACTCATGAGGGCAGGCTCAAACAAGAGGCCCAAGGAGGGTGACAACATTAGTTTTTAGTGGTAATTTATGTTTAAAATGTTCAACAGGCAATTTTTGAAATTTTATTGAATATAATTAAGGTATACAATCTGATGTTTATAGGACACAGATAGTAAAACTGTGATAGTGAGGTGCTGGAAAGATGGCTCAGCCAAGAAAGTACCTGCTGTGCAAGCATGAGCAGCCGAGTGTGGATCCACAGCACCACGAGAGAGCAGGTGTAGCGGCCGGAGTCTACCCCGACAGCTGGCCGCAGGGAAGGGCTGCCCCAAGTGGATTCCTGGGGCTCCCTGGCCAGTCAGGCTAGCCAGTGTGTGAGATCCAGGCCCAGAGAGAGATCCTCTCTAAAAAATAAGGTGAAGTGATGGAGGAAGATACCTCTGGCCACACATGCACACACCAGCAAGAACACTTGTACACACTTGTATTCTCACATGTACACACGCGCTGGCACACACAGAGAACAATAGTGAGACAAACCAGTTGTCTATTCCTACACTTTAACAATTCAACACTGACTCCATTAGCTTGTTATTTATAACCCTAAATATTTTCATTTGTTTCTTTGGTTCTGTTTTATGTTTGTTTTTCAAGACAAGGTTTCTCTGTGTAGCCCTGGCTCTCCTGGAACTAACTCTGTAGACCAGGCTGGCTTCCAACTCAGAGACTGACTTGCTTCTGCCTCCAGAATTCTGGAATTAAAGACCTGTGGCAACATACCCAGCCCACATCATTTTTTACTCTAGACATGCAATTATCTTTTTTTTTTTTTTTGAGGTAAGGTTTCTTGTAGCCCAAGCTAGCCTCAAAATCACTATGCAAACAAAGGGTGACCTTCTGATCTTCTGTGCCCACCTTCAAAGTGTTGAGATTTTAGGTACAGGGTACCAGGCCCAGCTTTCACATTGTGCGGGCAATGAAACCTGTACACATAAGGCGGGCGGCAGGTCCTCTATCTACCGAGTGGCATCCCCAGCCCTAGTTGTGGTTCTGCTGAACTCGTTTTATCTGTTTCAGCCTAAGTAGCCTCTGTTGGATTGTCTTCAAGGCCACTAATTTCTTCCTTAGCTGTGCTGAGCTTATTGATGAGTCAGAGGTGTTCTTCCAATCTGGAGCCTGTCGATTTCTAGTGTTGAATATGACGTGTGATAGTTTCTTGCTCTGCTAAAATTCTGCTCATTTACGTTGTCTATATCTTCCATGAGACCTTTCCATGATTCATTATTCTCTTAAATTCTCTGTCGGATAGCTACAGCATCTGGGCCTCCTCATTACTTTGACTCCTGACAAGGGATTTTTGTTGCTGTTGTTGTTTTTGGTTTTTCTAGAAAGGGTTTCTCTGTGTAGCCCTGGCTGTCCTAGAACTCACTCTATAGACCCGGCTGGCCTCGAACTCAGAGATCCGCCTGCCTCTGCCTCCCAAGTGCTGGAATTAAAGGCGTGCACTAGCACACACGTTTTCAGTTTTTGAGGATATGCTTCCATGTGTGTACCTGTCTCTGGACACAGGATGGTAGGCACTAAGCACGGTGTTCTCTGTGCCTGGAAATTTCTGTCTTGTGCTAGGCCAGTATAAGGGACTGAGTTGTCTCTGCCGCTGTTCTGTCATCTGGATTCCCACAGATTCTGCTGCTGTCTGAGCCACAGTGGGCCGCCAACAGTTCAATAAACATTTTAGCTAGTTCTTCTAATTCTCCTTCCCTTCAAGCATGGAGATTTCATCCCCTCAGAAGTAAATCAGTGCTTAATTCTAAGTCTTCCTAGAGACTCCTGTCCTTTAGAATTCACATTAATTACTTGCTTTGCAACCTGGATTCTCTGAAGGTTGACAAAAGTTCTGAAGCCCATCCAAGTTTTCAGAATTGTTATTAGCGTGGTAATGCTCTCCCCGCTGTGTCTCAGCTGGAAGCCAGAGTATCCAGCCGTCTACTTTTTGCTGTTCTTTTCATCTCTCTTGGCCATTCCGTTCCTTGTCAGCCTGGATCATTCTTCTTGATGACACTTCCAGTGTAGCTCAGTGAATTAATTTCAGATTGGATGTCCCACTCTTCCAAAGAGTTTTTGGCAAGTATCTGGCAACAAGAAGGGACAGACATCCATAGTCTTTCATCATCTTTGATTGAAAATAATCTGTGGGTCAGTTGATGGTTCACAATCAGTTACAGATGAACTCCTGTTTTATTATACCCCTTCAGCACTGCACTGACTAGTGGAAGGAAGGAAGGGAGGGAGGGAGGGAGGGAGGGAGGGAGGGAGGGAGGTAGAGACAGAGTCCTTGGAGTCCTTTTTCCAGAGATGAGTTTGAAAATAGGGCAGGGGTGGGAGATGGTGGGAGACGGTGATATGTGACCTTGGGAGCTGAGCTCCAGCCCCTGTACTCTAGACGTGGACTTATTTTTCTGTGGTAGAAAATGAGACCAGGTATCTACTTCATCCATTAATAAGAAATAAGACTCAAACTTACTAAAATGTTTCTTGAAAAATAAAAATTACAACAGGATAAAAGAACATGCTGCCAGCTGCGGTGACAGCCGTCTCAGGAGGTGGCCTGCCCAGGTTCCAAATCCAGCCCTGTCACAGACTAGCTGTAGGACCTTGAACACTTCCTCCACCTCTCTGTAGGGAAGTAGACATAATAGTATTTACCCCAGAGAATTAAGGGTTAATATATGTAAAGCACTTAAAGCAGCGTCTGAAGCCAGTAACTCATAAGTAGTTCTGACAATTAGGACTCCATCCCTATCCTGTCACAAGTTCACTACAGAATGCAGTTCTTTCCCTTTCTCAGAACCCATCCCAACCAAGGGAGCTAAGGTTTATGGAGCATTTCCATTGTATCCAGAGTCCTACACTAAGTATTTTGTATGAATTATAAGAGGGGGATCAATTATTCCTAGTTAATAGACAGGATCAAGGATCAGCTAAGTGTTTGCCTAAGTGGCCGGAAGCTTCAAGAAGGGGGTCTGGCCGCAGTGCCAGTAATCTTAGCCACTGAACTCACTTCCATAAACTATTTCCACTCTTCCGAAGGGGAAAGTGGCCTGCTGTAGTTACCTCCCAGGGTGGTTCTCACCTAGTCACACAGAGAAGTCAGTGCCTGAGCATTGCTGGAGTCCAATCTGCAGGGGAAGTGCGCCACAGTTCTCACGGCCATCCTTTTGCACATGCCCATCCCCTTCCCTGCTTTTCAAGACTTAGAAGCCGAGCATGGTGCACACTTGGGAGGCAGAGGCAGAAGGATCTCTGTGTTCAAGGACAGCAGGACTATACAAAGAAACCCTGGAGAGAGAGAGAGAGAGAGAGAGGAGAGAGAGAGAGAACTGAGTTACAATACCCGAGCATAGATTTTATTCTGACAAAGGACGACACTTGAGCTCTGAACTGCCCAAGCTGACTGCTGTGTGAAGACTGTAGCTAAACTTAGAGAGGACACAGGAAAACCTGATGGAGGCTACTACAGTAGGAGCCGAAGCCAAGAGAGTGGTGGAAATAGGAATGGTGGATTGGAAAGATACTTAGGAAACAGAATTGACATGAAATGGAGGTTTATTTTTATATGGGCCTCAAAGGAGAGGAAGATGCCAAGGATGGCTTGCAGACAGCATGACCCCAACACAGATTCTAATAGAATACACACACAGAGTCTGTGGCCTATCCTGACACTGCTTTCAGGGGCCAGAAAGCAAGGGGATGGGGGGGGGGGGGGGGGGGAACGGAGTCTTGATCCAGAAGCTGCTATACTGGACACTGCTAGCACTGGTCTTAGCCAGGAGATGCTGCGAAGGGGGCAGTTTCCATCTGGACTGCCCACCCACGCCAGGCCAAACATCTGGCATCCCTGCTAACACCTCGAGGTGTTGGCTCCCTGCCGGCGTGTAGGGTGCGGCGCCGGCTCATCCCCTCCAGCCCTGACCCGCCCAGTGCGCTGACCGGTAGGGCGGCGGCTGGTGTGGTCCTGGGCCCAGCTGAGGGAATCCAAGGCCCAGGGGTCGTCAACCGCAATGCACCTGTCTCATTAGGAGGCAGCAGACCCTTGCTTTCGCATCCCGCACCTCCTAGAGAAGGACGCGCGTAAGCGTGGCCAGGGTGTTCGAGGTGCGGAGAGGCGGGCAACGGGTGCGTGCGCGTGGTCGTTGCGTGGGCGCTGCTCTCAAGTCGGAGCGCATCAAGTGTGCGTGGGCCGGAGCCGGCGCGTGTGCCCGCCGCCGCTGCGCCCTGGGCGGGGGTGCCGCAAGTGCTTCGGGGCGCGCGCAGCCCCGCGCGGGCGCCCGCGGCCGCCAGAGCAAGGAGGGATGCGTGCGGGAACTTTTCGCCCGCCCCGCAAGTCCGGGTCGCGGCGTTCGGAGGGGCTGCCCTCCGCCGCCGGCACCGAGTGCCCGCCCCACCCCCACTTCCGCCTCCCGCCTCTTCCTCGTTCCCGACTCCCAGGGCCGCCGGTCCCCAGGGAGCCCCGCAGGCATAGCCCCACCCGGCCGGCGCTGCTCGCTCCCACGCCCCCGCCGCCGCTTGTCGGGAGCGCTTCCAGTGAGCCAGCGGGGCGCGGGCGCTGCAGGTAGGGGTGCACGGGTTGGTCTCAGGTGCGGCGGACTGGGGCCACGCAGCACGGGAACGTGGGGCGCCCTCCTCCGCCCGCCCCGTCTTCGCCCACGCTCCGGTCCCCTTTTAGGGAATTCTTTGCCTCTTGCCTCCTCGGGCGCGGGTGGGGCTGGGGCAGAGGGCGTTCTCCATTTTCCTGGCTCCTGCCTGGGTCTCAGCCGCCCTTCTCCAAATCTCCACTCTTCCCAGTACCTATGGTCGCGTAAACAACTACCTAGCACCAGGTCTCAGCTCCGCGGCCCCTGGTGGGCAATCTCTTCAACCTGGTAAGACCACAGCGTTGGGGGGGGGGGACGGGGGACGAGGAGAGGCGTCCGGGTGGCCCCGGTCCGCGGAAGCTCCCCCCCCCTCCCCGCAGCTCCGCAGACCGCCCCTGGGGCCCTGGGTATTTTTAGCGTTGTGACCTGGGCGGCAGCTCTAAGTCTTTCTTTGGAGTCCGCGTCAGCGTCTCCCTTCTCTGTGGCCAGTGGCCACAATAGCTCCCGCACTTCCTTGCCCCTGCCTGGCTCTTTAGTTTTGGGTCCCTTGTGAGCTACCCCAGTGCTTGAAGAACTGGCCAAGAGCTCGGATGCACTGTGCCCAGATGAGGTTTTTGGAGGATGACAGTTTGGTTCTCACCCTAGAAATTTCCCTGCTCCTGGTGATGGGTTCAGAGCAGTGTGCCAGGAATGAGAATGAATGCACAGGGCTCCGGTGTTCGGAGAAATTCGGCACTGGGAACATAGAGGCCTGGTCTGAACTGTACCCAGGCCCCACCTTTCTAATTGGTACTTGCTAGCAGGGGAGGTAAGCCACACAGATGTGTAAGAGGAGGGGAACAAATCTTAGAGTTAGAGGAAAGGTGGCCAGTTCTCTAGACAGCTCCCCTTCACAGTATTGTTGTAGGTAGGGTAATGCCTTCCGATGGAAGCCTGGGCCAGAAAGATGGTTTTAGGGCAGAGGCAAGTCAGGGAGTTAGGTCTTTGACTTCAGAGAAAGGATTTGGACGTGATGAGGATCGTGGTAATGGTGTGTGTGGAGAGAAAGAGAGGTGTGGGGGAGGAACGTTGCTAGAGTCTTTCTTTGGGATTTGAAGGGGTGGGAAGAACCAGAGCTGCAGCAACCTGTACTTTCCCATCTCACCCCGTTCTTCCCTGGCTTTCTGAGGGGAGCTGGGTCCATGAAATGGCCAGCCCCTGCCAGCCTCTCAGAAGGGCATTATAGGCAGTTGGACAGCCATTGGCAGCCTTGGTTAGCAGCAGGCAGGCTCTTGCCGTGCCTGGAACGGACATCCCCTTTGTGGAACCAGGACCGGCCCTTTCTCTATAGAGTCTTGAAGTTTGTGGGAAAGAGGCTGCCAAGGCCAGAGCTGTCCAGACTGGAAGCAGAGGCCGGGATGCTGGCTGCCGTGGGGCTCCTTAAGCCTAGGCACCCACTTTTTTCTCTCTCATCCCCACAACTGTTTTATTCCTTTACCCCCCAGGGGCTGACATGGACCCAAATCCACGAGCAGCCTTGGAACGCCAGCAGCTACGTCTCAGGGAGCGGCAGAAATTCTTCGAAGACATTTTGCAGCCAGAGACAGAGTTTGTTTTCCCCTTGTCCCATCTGCATCTCGAGTCCCAAAGACGTGAGTTACAAGTCCTGAGGAATAGAACTAGGGTGGGTTGGGGAAGATGTCCCTGTGGCTCTCAAATCTTGGGGGCCATCTCCCTTCCTGTTTTTGTGACCCAGTAAACTCTGAAATGGAGATCTTACAGGCATATCTGACTGTCCTCTCAGCTTCAGCCTGATCTGCCTGCCCTCCGCCCTCTTGTCTGCAGCCCCCATAGGTAGCATCTCGTCTATGGAAGTGAATGTGGACACACTGGAGCAGGTGGAATTTATTGACCTTGCCGATCAGGATGGAGCAGATGTGTTCTTGCCTTGTGAGGACTCTCCACCAACCCCCCAGATGTCTGGTATGCCTCTCTGCTTAGGGACCTAGGGACCATATAGCCAGGGCTGGATGTTTGGGCCCAGAAATGAGAGTGCAAGTCTGAGCTGAGGGGTGAATCTTAAGTAGAAGTTGGAAATGTTTGTCTCTGCTAGAGAAACAACTGGCTGTTGTGATTTAGGGAAGTTGACTCAGGGGGAACTGGTCTAGGAATAGCTAATTACTTCAGCATTCAGATTTTTATGTTTGTGAAATTCATAAAATTACTGTAGTTAAAGTAATAGAAAACATAATGAATATGTTAGACAACCCAAGCAATTTTAGTCATAATACTAAATTTTACCAATTTCCTGGGTTCTTAATATTGTGCTAAAGTACTTCACGTATTTCTTTCTTGATCCTTACAACATTCTGTGAGGACACGGAGGACAGGGGTAGACTCTTCATTTCATAAAGAAGGAAGTTAGAAGCTGGGCAGTGGTGGTGCACGCCCTTTATCCCAGCACTAGGAGGCAGAGGCAGGTAGATCTCTGAGTTCATGGCCAGCCTGGTCTACAGAGTGAGTTCCAGGACAGCCAGGGCTACACAGAGACCCTGTCTCAAAATTAGAGGCTAGGGATTGAGTTCAGAAACACAGTATACACAGTATGCTTGCCTGGCAAGTGCAAGGTCCTGAGTTTGATTCTAGCACCGAAAAAAAAAAAGAAAAAAGAAAATTAGTCTCAGAAAAGTTCAGTCACATCGGCAGAAAGTAGAAACGCTGGTATTCAAACCCTGTCTCTGGCTCCAAGCCCTGGAACGTGCTCCTGAGACTGCCAGCCCCCTCTCATCACAAGTTCAGAAACAGAGGAGGATGATTGTGAGCTTGAGACCAGCTGCAGAGCATGACTCTCTCTGAAAGAAACAAATTGCTAGTATTTCCTGATGGCCTCAGGTGCTTGATATGCATTCTTGAGGTTTTACCCTAAAAACTTAGAAATGGAGGTGTCCTTCTCACAGCAGGAACTGAGGGGAAATGACTTGCCTGCAGCTTCTCAGGACGCAGTGAGGTAGAGCCTGAGCTCTCGATTGACTCCAGCACATAGTATAGTGGTATGGAAGGGGCTGGCAGTCCTAATCCTGGCCCCTTGCTGACTGGGAAAGTTCATTCTGGACAGGTGCCCACTCTTCTCTACACTTCGGTTTCCCTGGCCAGATACATCCCTGAGTTCTCTAAAGCCCTGTGTGTGGCCCTGACCAGCCTTTCTCTCTGGGTAGGAGTGGACAGCCATCCAGAGGAGCTGAGCCTGCCGGTACCCACGCCAGACAGGACTACATCCCGGACCTCCTCCTTGTCCTCTGACTCATCCAATCTGCGCAGTCCAAATCCAAGTGATGGGGGAGCAGACACCCCCTTGGCACAGTCAGATGAGGAGGATGGGGGTGATGGAGGGGCAGAGCCTGGACCCTGCAGCTAGCAGTGGGCCTCTTGAAGACTGATCTATCTGGCCATTCTCCGTGGAGAGGAGATCCCAGGCCCAGCAGAACACTCTGGAGAAGACCTGACCCTTTACTTGCTGTCAGCACCAGAGCCGTAAAGGACGGTGGATACTGTACCTGAGAATTAGCCTTCCCTGCTTCTGCTAACTTTCTCCTGCTGCAACCTTCCCACCAGTGTTTTTCTCCTGAGGTAGGACTTCTAAATGAGAAGCTGGAAGATGAGGTAGGACAAGATACCACTGCTTTCTTAGTATCCCTCCTGCCCCCAAATGACCTGTAGACTTCCACTAGAGTCTCCTAAGTCAGTGTCTCTGAGGGGAAGGTCTGAGGAGTTCCACTTGGCACTCTGTGAGGTTGTACTGCAGTAATCCTGCCTCTTTAAATCCTTTTTGGAACAGGATATAGTATAAATAATAAACTATAAATAATAAACTATAATATACCACTCATTTCACCGCCTTCGTCACATTGCAGAGATGCCAGGCCTGCCGTCCTTCACTAACTGGCGCCATATCTCCATCATTCATTTACTCCACGTAGTCGAGAAATACTTAAGACTTTAGCTCTGCGAGACATTTGAAATAGGGTTCTGATGCGATGAAGCACTTTCCTGTTTTCACAGAGTTTACTGTCTGTGGTGGAGAAGGCCAGGTAAATATAAGTCACAGTATAGTAAGTAGTAGTATGATCAAGTTCTCCTCTGGTATCAGGAAACAGAACTGAAGGAAGGATTTCCTAAGCAGAGATCTGAAGGACAGTGAGGAGTAGCCAAGCTGGGCAGAGGGAGAGGGATCCTATCCAGGGAGAAGCTGCAGCTTGTAAACACTAAATGGAAAGGCCAGGCTGGGTGTGGGGGCTCCTCCGTATAATCTCAGCAAGAGAGGGGTGAGGCAGGAGTATCAGGTTCAGGAACAGTTTTGGTTTCATAGCATATTTGAGGCCAGTCTGGGTTTCGTGAGACCTGTTTCAAAAAATAAAAAATAAAATTAAGGAAACAAAAAAAAAAAAGAGTAGCAGTAGGAGAAGACTACAGAGACCGAGTGTGAAGAGCTAAGAAGCATTTTGTTTGGATTAACTGTTGGATTTGAAAATATACAGGGAGAGGTAAACTTGACAGAGGTCAGATTGTGAAATGCTTCGAAGCCTGTATTAGGTTTCAGTTTGACAGCTAGTAAAAGATCATGACTTAAGATACAAATTTATTTCCTCATACTAAAGAAGTCCAAAATACAGGGCCGCGGGGAAGCTCTCTGGTAACTGAGCACCAAGCTACTTTTGGGTTGTTTTCCTTAGCCATCCAAGGCACATGACATCAGTTTTTGCCCATACCTTGTATTTAGGATGGCTGACAAAGCATCAGCCGGCATGGCTGTGAAAATCACAGAAAACAAGAGAAAACATGGGGAGTGGGCACAAAGGACACAGCCTGGGGTCTGTTCTCACCTGGAAGCTCTAAGAAATGGTACCCACTTGGTTTCATTGCCCAGAATTTTTTAACAGAAAATGTTTCATTTTAGACATTTTATAGACACTTGACACAGCATTTTCTAGAAGAGGAAATTCTAGCTTTTGGAAAGACAGTAACCCTTTCAAATCACTGAATTGCCAGTGCATCGGATTCCAGCGACATCTCTGAGAAACACATCCAGCAGGGAGACACCCCTTCTTAAAGGCCACACTGCTGTCTTGACTGGTCAGGGTTTTGCTACTAAGGAGCCAAGAGGATAGCAGTCATTAGTGGTTTACGTGGTAAGAGGTCATCCTGTTAGAGTTTGGAGTTTATTGGGAATATTAGAAGTGGTTGTGTTAAAATCTCAAAGATGTGAAGAGAAGACCCAAATCATCACAGCCAAATTAATTAAAGCCAACAATTAAAGCAAGCTTTTTTATTTGTGTACACCGGCTGTCTTCCTCCATGAGGCAGGGTTCCAGAGATCAGTATTGGAAATGGGGAAGATAAGATTTTTATAGCTCAGGGGTAGGAGGTTTCCAAACAGGGGATTTGACAGGGGAAATAGGTGTGGTTACAGAAGCAGACCATAACAAGGTAATCATAGCAACAGGTGGTCATTGTAACCTTTTGAAACAAAGGTAGGGTTGCAAAATAGTCATTAACAACTTTTTTAACAAAGACCTGATTGCTGGTTCCTGGAAAAGGCAGTATAGGTGGTCATTTGTAGTAAAGGTTACAGGTGGGGCATAGCCCAATTTCTGAGCAACAGGTTTAATCATAAACAGGAATGAACCTAATTTGTCTTTACTATAAGATGGCTTTCCAGCTTAAGATGGAGGTAAGCTAGTTCATCAGTTGGACTCGCATGTTTAAAAAGGTAATTCTGACTGCAGTTTAGAGAATATGCTGGAGGAGGTGGACTCTAGACAGACAAATAACAATGCAGTAATGCATGAGAGCAATAATGGTAGTCCAGTAGGCAGTGGTTACTTAGGCTGGAGCAGGGTGTAAACAAACTGACAATAATCGTTCCATAAACATTACATACTGGTATTTAGCAAGTGTAAACACAAATACAGTACTGGCCCAAAAGGAAAAGAAAAAGTCGGTTCTGTCCTGGAGCTCAGTGTAATGGAGCCCGAGTGTAAATTTGCAGCCATGACTAGAGCTGCAGAGCAGCCAGCTTCTTCAGAGGTCACCAGGGAGCCTCCCTCGAGGAAGCGACATTGGCGCTGAGGTCTGAATAACAAGTAGGAATAAGCTAGGGAAGAAAGAAGTGCTGAAGGCCCCTTGTGGCATACTGATTGGAAGGGATCAAGTGCCTGGAAACCAGATGATTACATTCACCTAAAGGAGAGCTAGGAGCCAGGGTAGAAGTGATGGGGTAGAGCAAGGTGGAAGATTGAGAAGACTTCAGAAGCCAATCTGGAAACAGGACAAAGGCACCAACCAGCATTGTTTGTATCTCATCCTGTAGGTTTGGACTGGAGGCTGTAATAAATTTGTTTTAGATGTATTGAGTTTGTGTTTTTGTTACATCCAAGACAACATGATAAGCAGGCAGCTGGAGTGGTAAGTGTGGAATTGGGCAAAAGGATTAGAATGAAAAAATAAACATACAAATATGAATTAATACATGGGTGGGAGGTGAAACCATAGTGAAGACAGACTTGCCCAGGAAATGTTGGATGAAAGAAACTTTAGGACCCAGCCTTAAGGCTCTCTAGTTCATTTTTCATAGTAAGAAGTCATTAGACTTCCCTCCCTTCACAAATCACAACACTACCTGCAGGATCGGTGACTTTAGCCTAAATCCCAAAGCTCTTCAGACTGGGTGATACTTGGCTTACAGTTTTGTCCCCCACCCCCTGGAAGCCATTATAAGTTACTGTCCCTAAGGATACTGAGAAGTTTGTGGCATCTCCAAGGAAGCTAGAGAACCCTTCAGCTTTCCCCTGTCTCTATGAACTTGTAGCATAAATACCTTCTGCCCAAAAGTCTCTGGGTCCAAGCTGAGACCATCTATTAAATTGGGCTAAGGACCCCGCCTGAAGTTAAACCCTAAAATTTCTCTAAGTTGCCTATGACTTTGCTGTATATAGATAACAATTCTTGTCCGTGCCAACCTTCCTTGAACATAGCAGAGCTCTGCCTCCTTTCTTGATGGGCCCATTCTTCTCTTAAACTGTGGCCTCTGAGCCCACCTAAGCTTATACAGAGCTTTTTGGGACCACCCCTATTCAGGGTGAAGGATGAGAAGCTGTACTTGCTTGGTTGCTATCAACATTCCAATAAATCTTTTAGTTCTCTAGACACACAATGCTAAGATTGTGGAGTTTGGAGCAGGAGCCTTCTTGGGGGAGGGATCTATAGCACCCTTGAGAAATAGAATTGTTTGTGAGTCTCTGGGAAATGTCCAGTTGAGTTAGTATGAACCCAGCTCTGTCTGGAAAAGACTAGGGTCAGTGGGACCACAAGACCACTTCCTGGTTGGGACAATGACTTCTCCTTCTGCCAAACCACAGGGGTCTGGCCAGCCTTCAGAGGCTTCATCTACAGCTGACTGTTTCCTCGGGCTACACAGTATCCTTGGAGACAACATGCCGATTTATAGCCAACTCCAAATTAAGGAGCCCGGAGTTCAGTCTTCCAAGCCACATTGTGGCTTCTTTCTATTGCAAGGCTTACTGGGTAGACATCCTGATAGACTCTGAAGAGAGAAGAATAAACTCATCTCTGCAGAACTTTGTGCTGTGGAGGAAACAGAAGGGATCCCAAGTCAGGAGAGTCCCTGAAACCTTACCCTGTAACAGTCCCCAGGAGTGTGCAGAACCCTGCAAACAGCTCAGTAATGTGAGGACAACAGTACTGTGGGAGCATGTCTGACCGTTCTTGTAGACAACGACCGAGTACACCTATAATGTGCTGGCATGGTACCAAGGTGACCAAGAGCTCTTCCAGGAACAGACAAGTTCTGCTCCAGATATGGAAGCCGAACATAGTGAAGGCCACACTACAACCGCATGGATGACTAAGGCTTGCTGCAGGAGGAGGGAGTCTTCACAGGAGGTGGGTGGGCTTTGATGATGGGGACAATTTCAGGAGGAAGCAGCATGAAATAACCATGATGGCAGCTGCCCTTGTAAGAAAGTATTTGGATGCTGGCAATGTGGCCACTTTTCCTGGCTCCATTACTTGCTGTGGACTTAAATTAATTCAGTTCCCATGCTTTCATTTCCTTATCAGTCCTCAACTTACAGAGCTGTTTGAAGAGCGTTGGCTATTACTATCGAACGTGTTAACAATGACCCTGAAAGGAGGCAGGTTTTTTTAATTTAAGTTCCTTTTATTTGTGTGTGTATATCCATGGAGACACAAGAGGGCACCTGATACCCTAGGACTGAAGTAGTAAGCAGTTATGGGGCAGCCGGGGTGGGTGCTGGGAACAGAACTCAAGTCTTCTTCAAGAACTGCAAGTGCTTCCAACACTGAGCCTCTCCAGCCCTCTAAAAGCGGGGTTTGCAGCTAAGGAAACATGACACTTAGGTTGTTCATGCTTAGACAGACTAGGGCTTTGAACCCTTACCTGACATCTAATCTCTCCCCACTACTGCAAGTCTAGTGAGATCAGAAACACTTGATGTAGGAGAATGAGGTTATCTTTTCAATAATTTATTTTTTTCAACACTAGTGAGGAAAATGCAAAGTAGTCCCACAGTGAGACCATCCAGATAGCTGGGTCCAAAACCTAAAAACACCAAATGTTTAGTAGGATGTGGACCAGAACCCTTGGTTTTTGGTTTGATTGTTTTTGTTATTTATTTATTTACCTTGGGGTTTTTTGAGACAGGGTTTCTCTGTATAGCCCTGGCTGTCCTGGAACTCTGTAGACCAGGCTGGCCTCGAACTCAGAGATCTACCTGCCTCTGTCTTCCAGGTGCTGGGATTAAAGGCTACCACCGCCTGGCCATATTTTTAATAGACAAATAAAATGACAGATTTTGGAGAAAGGTCTGTTTCTTACTAAAAATTAAGCACACACTTTCTCTTTGATTCAGCCATATTGTTCCTAAATACTCTTCCAAGGGGCTCAATAAACCTAAATCTACAAAGCAACTTGTACAGACTATAATCAACCTTGTCCACTATAACCAAAACTGCCAGAACTCCAATGCCCACCAACAGAATGGAGAAACTGGCTTATCCACACAACGTTAGCACTGCATGGCAATAAACAGTCTTAGACATATGGGAACATGAGGCCAAGCGTCCATGTCCCTGGAGATGAGAGCCAACTCTGATGAAGCTATGCTTTCGGTCTCCACAATGTGGTTGCAAAGTCATTCCTTCTGAGAAAGAAGAGACAAAAGTTACATTATGATATCATTTACGTTTAGTCCTAGAACAGATGAAGCTATTACAAGAACACTGGTTGCCTCTAGAATGTGTTCTGGAGATAGACTTCGGCAAGGAAAATGCACGAGCCGCTTTTTTGGGGCTTTAGGTTGTTACGTTTGTTTGGGGGTTCCCTTCGGACACACACTGCTATGCTGGG